GCCATTTAAGACCACGCCGATTATCTGTGAGGCCAAAGTAGCCATGGACGTGAACCGGCAACCCTGTCCTGGAGTCAGCGTCTGGTGGAAGTGGCAAGAAGCAGAATATTCTTCCAGTTCTTGATGAGAGAGCTTGAAGTTTGGCTGCATTCACTGGTGTGGCACAGGCCACCCAAGGCAGGAGACCTAATTCTAGGGACAAATTTCTGAGAGTTGAATTTCGAGCATCAACCTGGTGGTACACAAGCCATTTATTTTCCACCTCTCTTCCTCCTTCAGTCTTTTCAAGGACATGCAAATCCAAAGGAAGATTGATTTTTTCAATTTGCCCGGCGCTCAGCCTTCTCAAATTATTAAAAAAATTACTCTTCTTCTCTCCAACTTCTCTCCGGCAGCTGTCACTCAGTCGAACTGTAAAGACATGTCTTTCAACACCTCTCTCATCAGTTTCAAACAGAGCAATTTCTTCAATGTTTTTCAAGAAGAGCAGGATGACAGGTGCTTCCTCTTTGAGGGCTTGAAATTATTTGGAAACTTTTTCCTTACTGTAAACCTTTTTGGATAAGTCTGACGGTGCACTTCGTAGCGGAAAACGAAACAAAGTTCCATTGTAGAATCGAGTCGAAATTTTGCAGTCTAAGACATTCTCGTACGGCTTGAACTGGTCTTCGTGATTTTCAAGGAGTTCATCCTCAAGGGAAAATTGCTGTCCCGTTTCCCCTCTACCAAAGTGTATTTCGTGAGGATCAAGAAATACAATACAATCTCCACTCACGATGCTGGGCAGATCTAAATCATGTGTCAAGATGTAACCAGTTTCGTAAATATAATTGTCTCATTATTAAGGGCAGATACTCAATCTATTTCAACACGTACATTTAAAGGATGTGCAGTTGCTAAGTTGAACGGACGATTTTAGAACGTAACTTGTTATGGTTTTTTTCTAGATGCAAGGGAAAATTTCTCGGCAAGGATTTCCGCTCTTCTGTTTCCAGTAAGTTTCCAGTAAGTTTCTTTTTGCATTGCAATCCGAGAATTTCAATGAGCTGCCACGATGTCACATTGTAATGATATTTTACTACCCTTAAAGAAACTTACCAGTCAAATGATAAACAGAATTGAAGCCAATTCCAAATCGACCAACTTTTAAAGGGTCATTCTTTTTATTGCTATCCATTAGTTTCTGCAAGTTTTCCCAGTCACTTTCCTCGAACAGAGCATTGTTCTGAGCATATAAAGCAGGGCCCTGGAACTGAGAAAGACTGGGTGCGACGAGAGAGTTCCCTCCGTAAAAGCCTTGACGCGAATCAAGGAGAAAGGACACTTTTGTGGCGCCTGCGTCATCTGCATTCTGAATAATTTCCTGAAAAAAGACAACATAATCCAGGTTTCAAATAACGATAATATAAAAAGAAGGAGATTAATGTCATATTCCTCGATCTTTGTACTACCTTTTATTTATGTACTAGAACATTTATTTTATGTTGACTCGTTAGCACCAGTTTTTCTTGTTTGACCGCTAGTGTTTTAAAGTCATGCAATTATCACCAACGTTGAATCAAAGTAAGGAGAGTTTTTCTCATTTTACAAGAAAAAAAAACAACAAAGGGAAACAAAACAAAAACATCTAATAGGATTTAAAAGGGTCCCATGTATCTCTGCTTGGTACATTAAATATGAATTATTTCACCCTCATGCAAAAATGTAAGCGGTCACAGACATATCACTGTCGAATTCTCCTTTGACAGGGAAATAAATTATCTTCGGTCACGACTCATATAAGGTTTCGGTTTCTCTTATTGAATTAATCAATTCGTCAATCGATTATTACTGTGGAAGACCATTCTTTCTCGTCTCACTGTAATCAATAATTTTGAACACTCCATTACTGCTGATGTTTTCCCAGTCCAGGATTACCCTCTATTCATTAATTTATTTGACAGAAACGAAGCCTTAATCTTGCTCTTTTAAACCGGGTTGACTGTACAAGTTTTTGCTGATCTGATGCAATGCTGAGAGAAGCATTATCATTCATACCTTTAAGATTTGTCCTCCATCTGGGTATCTTTCCAAGATACTTCTCAAAATGTGGGTTAATGGAGGTCTCCTTTGGCCATAGGACCTCCCTGTTATGGCAAAGAAACAAAACGGTTGTAAGAATTAGCGAAACGAAACTAACCAGCAAAAGAGTATAACAAGTTAATTTACTATTATCAGCTAAGTTGATAACGTAAATTAGCCACCGTAAAGAGTTTAAAAGCGGACGTTTCGAGCATCGGACCCTCCGCCAGTGGGAATGGAGGAATTGTGGGTTGTGTGTGTGTGTTTATATCTAGTACAAGAGTAACTACCTACAAACATAATATGACCTCTCCAGCGAGCCAAATTGTAAACAGAATTCTTGGATAATCTTGTTTTCTGTCTTTTATGTTCTTTATTAAAATTCTTAACTTGACTTTGATAGATTGAAGAAAATGCTCGCATCGGTAACTATGTAGATCATGAGGCCGGTTTAAAAAAATGTTATCAATCTTTTCAGAGGTTAAATTCTAATAACATTCGAACTTAAGTGGCGTCTCAAGATCACAAAGCTTCCGCTATTTATTAAAGTTCCTTCAACGGTACTGGCGAGGGATACATACGTTCTAAAGTGAAATCGAACAGAAACTCACTTCAGAGTTAAAATCTCAGTTCCTCTTGAGACCCAATATATTTAAGTTGAGGCGAAAAAAAAACCAACCTTCAGCTTTGAAATGTTTAACATATTTTAATGTGCAAATACTCCCCATAACTAGCATTTACCTTCACTTTCCTCAAAGGGTGTAATACAGAAGATACGTTTTTGATAAAGTTATCGCACCTTTAAAGTCCTATGGCCCCATTCGGTTACAGCTAGGTTTTTAAGTACAAAATGCTCTATAGTTTACTAGGAAGTAGATGAAAAGTAGACCATAATCTCGTAGAACATCATGGATTATTTGTCTGTTTTCCTAAACATATCCTAGAATATTATCATCTTTGATGCTTACAACTGTTGCATGGTTAAAAAGTTTGCTGT